TAATCTTAACCATTGAAATGAATTATGGACTGAACTGTCATTGAATGAGTTATACAAACGATTAAATCATTAAAATGAATGATAACATTTGAACAAGACTAAATCAATGAAATGAATGGGGTGGTATGGACAAGACTAAATCACTGATATTATTTTCACATCTTTGGAAAGAGATGGATGACTGAGTGTTTTTTTCTGTGTTTAATCCTTGTTTACCTACCCTGTTGACTTAGTCTAGCTGAGCTCATCATATGAGTGATTGTCTGTCTGTATCTTGTATACCTTTTCGACTACTTCTTGAAAACTACAATTCTTATAGCTTTGATACTGGTATATGTACATTGGGCAAACCCCTCAAATTTGTGTTTCATGATATCTTTATTTCTCTAATTTTGATGAATATTTTTGTCAGTTTTGATATTATACATATAGGTACTACAGGTAGACCTCTCTCAGATTTGTTCATTTCTTGATATTTTCAATTATCTAATTTTGATGAATATTTTTGGTAAAAAGAGATATTTTAAAATTTTTGTTGAAATGTGCATTGCTAGAAGCTGAGCTATCTCAGCCGAGAGGCTGCTTGTCTTTTTGACTCCTGTGTGCGATGCACACAATGGAAGTCTTTGCAGTTAGCCTGTCTGTATGTGTGTGTGCTCGTTTGTCTGTTCCACTGGTATCTAAAGATCCACACATCGGTTGTTGATAAAACCTGGTGCATATATGCTCCAGGCCAATGTGATTTGATTAGACTTTGGTAAAAATTCATGCATATTAATTACCTAATTTGCATGATATTTAGCTATTTTTTGGCTGTTCCATGACTGTTCCACTGATATCTAAAGAACCACTCATTGGATTTTGACGAAAATTGGTACATGGAGACTCTGAACTAATGTGCAGATTCGATTAGTTTTGGGTAAAATGTTGGTGCATATTAATTACCTAATTTGCATAATGATTAGTCAATTTTCAGCTACTTTCACAAGTACTAATTATCACATATCAATGAAACTTGCTACATAGATCCTCTGGGATATGCGGAGGCCTGATATATAATTGTGCATATTAATTACTTAATTGGCATAATTAGTTAATTTTCAGCTTTTTCACTGATATCTCAAATACTAATTGTCACATTTCAATGAATCTAAGACTATGTAAAGACCCAATTTGCATAATTAACCAATTTTCAACTTTCACACTGATATCTCAAGTACTAATCATCACATTTCAATAAACCTTGGTACATTTATAATCTAGGACATTGTAAAAACTTTATTAGTTTTGGGTTAAAAAGCGTTCGTATTCCCTTATTAGCATAATAATTCATATTTTAGTTCTAATCACATTTCAATTAAACTTGGTACATAGATGATTTGTTACACTGCGCAGACCTCATTAGTTTTACACTCAAATCTGTTCATATTAATTACGTGATTTGCATAATTAGGTTTCAGCTTTTTCATCAATATCTCAAGTACAAGTAATTTTGAATTAATTTTAAATGTGTCTCCAATACTCTCAGCTGACGGTAGTTCTATCTATTTCTTTGAGTGAAGTTGTATTCGAAATTATACATTATTGTAATGTTTGCCGTAAATACCGGTATAAGAAAGTTCTCTTGTTAGTACAGCAAAAGTAGCAGTTTGATGAAATAATGAAAAACACCAGTGATTCGAAATACATGTACATGTACATATAAACAAGTTAAGACCACGGATGCAAGCTATGTTTATTTCCACTTGTACAAAGATTTTATGTAAATAACAATGTACAATATACTGGCATGAAAGAAAATGAATAAATATTAGTGTAATAAAGATAAATACGGGTATAAAAAGACTTGGGGAAAATAGATAATGTTACTAGTTGATGTTTATGCTAGTACTTGTTCTGTTATCAAAGTACTATTATAATATAAAGTCAACTCGAAATTCACAAGCTGGTCGATGTTCGGTAGCATTTATCTTCAGGGCAAAATGGAGTTCAGCACTAAAACCATAATTACCAGCGACACATTTGTGTTCGTCCCGGTGCCTGAAAATAATAATAATTATTGTGACCGTGTGCTGGCGCTATGTAATTTACGATCGTTTCATTCAAGTGTCTGTGAAATGCCCACCTACACATTTACCGTTTTGGATTTGTGAACTGAATTGGACAGTCATCGATTTTTTCTTGAAATGATTAATCGTACCCGAGTAAATTTGAGATATTTCTCGTGTTGTAGTCATGCTACAGTTGAAGCAGTTGACAGTTTTCAGCTCTTGGACACTAGCTGCAGTAAAAATGCGCCACCATATGCAAACATACGAGAAGAAGCCATACTCTTGCGCCATTCTTTTATAATACTGCGTCATTTAATAATATATATTTTAATAGTATGAAGATGTGACATTAGTAGACGAAAGCCGAAAAATCAATGAGAAAAGTTGGAATGAACATTCTCCCTATACCATCATACCGCATATTCTTTCGCTGAACAACTGTCCTCATTTTATAAAAGAACACCTTGGATTTAAAAACAAATGCCGAAAACTTAAATCTGGCACAGTACTAACACTTTTTGAAGAACCAGATTCCGAACCAGACCATCACCGCGTTGGCTTTCATAAAAGAGACGTCAGGTTGGTTTTTCAAATGTTTTGGTAATCTGAATAATGTTTTATAGAGACTATATAGTTTGTGTTATGTTATGTAATGATGTGACGCGAAAACCAAAGGTTGGTCAAACCAGAAATTACGCAGCACTGGCACGTTTGTAATTGTTTTTAATTTCGCTTTCAATAAAGTTGAATGACGACTTCACACTTCCGTGACCTTTTATTGCAATTTGATCTGCATAAAAAATGGGATGTCAATAGTTTGCGACTAAGTAATGTCCTGTCTTAATTATGACAATCACATTAACTCAGATAAATTTTGCTGTTTTTCGCTCTCAATTTTTTGTTATCCAATCAAACGCCGCCATTCACGCACTTTTCCTCGCCGTGACCCGAGGCGTTCACCCGTTTCAACAGGATGTTAATCCACTCGCACGTGACTATCATTTAGTAACTGTGATTTACGAATCATCGAGTCATTATCATTTTTTATTATTTCTCTATTTTATTGATCGCTATAGTTCATTGTTTAGAATGTTAACACATTTTCACATTTTATTTTAATTTTGAATCTGTTTTTTTACTCGGTCGATGGAATACATCAGTTTACGAACATACCGGTACCCAGTAACCTGACAAATAACTAGAAGACAAGCCAGACGTCAAACTCTATTTTGACAAACTTGAAAAACATCGACATAGAGATCGTGGCAATAGATGTCGGCACTTCAACCGACTTCATCGACCACCATATAAGTGACTGATTGTGCACTACGCCGTTGACCGGGACATATAATGTATTTTCTTTCTAACTCGAACCCATAGGAAAAAAATATTGGATTTTGTAAAGAGTGGGATAGAAAATTGAACTGTAGAGGGCATTGGGGGGGGGGGGGCTCGCATCTTTTCAATAGAGCCCTATATTAAAATCAGCTTTTTACCTCTAACTGAAGAAACCATAGAGATAAGTAAGTGTATCCGATTTCTGCTCATTCTTTCATTTATGTTTCATTAGTTTCCATACCACAGTTGAAAAACAAAATTAAATCTATCTTGCCTACTAAAATGTCTTGGTTGATTTTAAATTATCTTTAGAAGACAGAGTTCCCTCTTTTTCTGGGAGCTACAACTTAGAGGGCGCAACTCGATAAAAATGCATGTTGTACTCACTGCCACTATTGGTACATGGATTAATGCCTCCATATCCATCCTCGACATTGCCCATCTGTAAACACGTATGACTGTTGTCAAGGTTACCATCAGTGTAAGAAGCACCACTCGGTACCGTCACACTCATACATAAGTACTGATATATACTACAGTCTGTTGATGGAATCTTAATGTCTGCTTTCAATGATGTAACTATGATCGTATCATATTTAGATATGCCAGCGCCCAGGTCGTACGCTGAACTTACATCCACATTAAACGTGATACGAGTTGTATTGCCATTGTCCAAGTTGTCGTTGCTGGCGATGCTTGCAACGAATTCATAATTTGACGATCCGTCAAAAATTTTGTTGAAATCTTCTCCAAGATTCGTAATCATCAGGTCAAAGGTGACAGGGATGCTTGCATCGAGAGTGTAGTAGAGATTGGTTGAGGGAGAAGTGACTTTTAAATTGCTGGGGATTAAATCTGATAAGAGACAATGAAAGCAATGTAATGTTACCGAGTCTAATCTTTTCAACATTTTTTTATGAATTGAAAAAATCTAGTTGTAGCGATACTATGAGCACTTAAAAAACAACAATCACAGTTTGTCAGTATTATAACGTGTTTACCATAGACTCCTATATCAGAGATATTATGGCATATGCTGAAAAAAAATAAGACATTAATGATGGGGTACCTTTTGTTGTCCTGAATTATTTTTAAAATCTGGGTTTTAAAAAGTGTCAAAAATGCAATTTTTCTTTAACATTGTAGTGATTTTGACAAATATAACAAGTTTGTCAAAAAAACACACAAAATAATACTTTTTCAGTGTACCGTGAGACATTAGCTCCATGGTTGTACATAATAAACATTGAACGTTATCATGCAATGTATGACCACCTTATGAATATATATATATATATATATATATATATACATATAATTATGAGTAGGCTTCTATGTTAAAGCGGGAGAGTCGTCACCTGCGCATGCGTCAGATGGCCATAGCGTGTCACTGTTTACAAACAAGCGTCTACCCATGAGCCTTTGTGTTTTAGTGTGTGTTGTTATCATATGAATATATAATTATGACTAGGCTTCTGACGATGAACTTGACGATGTGGTATTATTACCTGAAACGCATTCTTTTATTCCAGCGTTCTCAAAACCATCAAGAAACTGTAAACAAGTATAATCGTTGGCTGCAACGTCATCGATGACACCGCCAGGGAAGGTATTGCGTATGCTAATACAGATATAACTGATATTGGTACAGTGTTCCACTGGTATCGTGACAGTGGCGTTGATCGAGTCGAACAGTGCACTCTCCAACAAAGCGATCGACTCGTATCTCTGCGCATCTTGGGTACCTTCTACGTAAATGGGGTAAGTATAGTCGAGCGTCAAGTCGTTGTTCGTGAATTCAAGACTGAGTATCAGATCGAAATTACCATCAACGTTTGCTGGTAATGTGTCAGGCCCATTGTTGATAATCATTGTTTTCAGTTGGGTGAGTGTTTCCCTGCCAGATATGAAAGACACAGCGCCATCACCGGGGGTCGGTGTTGTTACTTGAATACCGTACACCCGAAGGTCTGTAAAAACAAAATGTATCAATTAGCAACCGCGTGGTGGCGCTTTGAACGCTAGTACACTGGTGAAAATTGCTTGTATTCCATTTTGGGACATTAATATGATTCCATGTATGATCTTAAAGCGGGGGAGTCGCCACCTGCGCATGCGTCTGATGGCCATAGCGTGCCATTGTTTACAAAAAAGCGTCTACCCATGAGCCTTTGCGTTTTAGTGTGTGTTGTGTTATAATCGCTTGGGACTCAATTCCCGCGCGTGCGCAGGTGACGACACTCCCGCTTTAAGGTGTATGTATATACTATTCCATAATTAGACAACACAGAGTGAATGGAACCTAGCTGTTAAGTAACACAATGGTGGCGCTCTTTCGGAATGTAACTGCTCACCTGCGGTCTCTGAAACCGTATCATATAATTGCAATAGTAGGCTGATTAAACCCATCTTCATAAACACACGAACACACATCTGTAGGGAACATAAACTCATTGTTAATAATAACTTTACTGTTATTTTTCTTACATTTGCAGGAACGATGATTTTTCTATATATTAACTAAAACATGCATTGTTAATATTGTTTGACTACTATTCTCGGGTGGATATTGTCATTTTTTTCATTAAAACGAATACTCATGTGTGTGCTACAAGAATTTGTCAGTTCACGATGAATAATAATCCAATGTATTCGTCATTTGTAGTGTCAAATAACATTAAAATGACATGTTCTCACCGACATTCCATCATCTTTAGCATGATACTCTGAATCAAACAGAATAATCTTTCCCGAGTTCTTCTAAACGTTCCATTATGCTGTGTCATTGCGCACATTGGTGTGCATCGTCAAGACTTACAATCTTGTTCATTTAACACATTTTGCCCAAAACTGCCTAAAATACGAAAAATTACAAATTTTGCCGCCCTTCAATGCTGGATTTTGCGAAGACGACAGCGTCACCGTTTTTTGTTTATTTGATTCCTAGAAATGTAGTAAGTAACAGGAAATTGTTACTTGTTTATATATATATATATGTAAAGACGAGTCATTTGTTGTGTTACTATAAAACAGTATTACATTTACAAGCACTGTGATGAGTTGATCGACTTTCAGTTTGTAAACTGTGGGAAATAATCTCGAACTAATTTCACAGAAATATATTAACAAATTAAAATAAATTATTACCCAATAAAGTGTGTAGATATGTACATTGAGTGTCGCTGTCACAAGTTTGATTTGAAAATTACAGTTGAACAGACGAGGTAGATGACCAATTCCAAATTTGATTAAAATATGATGTATTCGTATGTTATGTATTTTTTATACATTTTATTTTACTTGTACTCAGTATAATTTTTAATATTTTTATTATTATTATTACTACGTACATCTTATATTATGAGCTTTCACAATTGACAACACTTTTTAAGAACTGCCATCAAATAAATAATTTCAGATAAAATTGGGTATAATAAAACAAATAATTTAATGAAAACAAGAAAAAAAACAATAAAGCCCAAGCTAGGATCTTATTTTAATCTTACTTTTATAACACTACATTTTAGGAAACCTTTCCAGGCCAAAAAGTCTTTCGATTTACCAGTCGCAATTTATAAAATTATAACACAAAAACATTTTCATCACGGAGTTCGTCAGATTATAATCAGATCTTTCGAAGTTCCAATATATTTGTTTTTTTAATGTTTTATACGGGTGCGTTTCCTTTTTAAATCAGGCATCGGTCGTGTGTTATGATTGTTTTCAAACGCTTAAGTTTCCTTGTATGTTCAAAACACGCAAGGACGACAGCGAAACAAGTTCAACCTGAACCACCTCCCCGAAAGTTCTAGCGACCGCATTTCATCCACATTTAGAGGAAAATGCGCACTCTGCTACTACTGCTATTACAGTATATTCTGCGCGTCGTTGCTCATTCTGCTGGATCCAAATTGAATATAATTTATATATTGTCAACTTTGCACTAAGTGAATATATTAATCCCCATAATAATGATGTTTAGAGAAACTAGATATGAATTTGTATAGATAAAAATCTTACCTTGGACGTATCGGCAATATTGCCAAGAACGACAGTGACCTTGGCAGTTTAACGTTAGACACTTTAGAAAGTGATGTAAATACGCACAGTATCGACTGTAATATATGTGGTGTCACTTGTGGCGAGTGACTCAATAGTTCGCAACACAAATACTTTATCAACTTAAATAGACCGTTTCGGGAGAAAAAAAAACGTTGCCAGGGCGAGTGTATTCATGGGCGTACTGGTGCCTCTTGGATAGTGTAAGCCAAATATTCATACGTCACAGAGTAAATATAAAGCTCGTACCACTCTCACTTGGTTTTCGTAATGTTTGGGTTGCAACTACTCGTATCGTTGAGACGCACCTCCAATTCAATCAATTTACGATTTAGTTCGTACGAGATGAGTCATGCTAATGAATACCCCTCCTACAATATCGTCGTCCATACCAACAAAACTCGGTGCTCGGTCACGGTGTTTCATCGTGCGGTGTTTGGACACCATATCAGTAACTTGTGAAGCAGACACCATGTCTCGATGGTGGCCATAGCAACGAAGCTCGGTTTACATGTTAAAATAATAATTCATCACGGATTCCACCAGTATACGGCAATAACTTGTCTCCTACGGTGGCCCACAACACACAACACAACTCAGCATATAATTTGACAAATCAGTGAACTTGTCACATGTAAACTAAATTTAAGGTGTTCATTGAAAAAATACACCACATATACTGTATATATTGGGAGTGGACCATTGCTTTTGCATGGGTGGTGGGCTAGAATTAGAAAGACACTATTACAGAGAAAAATCATGAAACTTCGTGAAGGAACGTCCGTTCGAGCCACCCCCAGCAAAAATATAATGGTGTATCCCTGATTGTTCTTGGTCAATATTATAATTCAGCAATCAAAGCAAATTTATTTCATAGAACGCCTATTTATTTCATATACAACCATGAATATTTGTTACATTTCTAGAAGTCAATATTTACAGTGTGCATTTATCGATGCGTGATATGTGGTGAATACAAACACTGATTCTCATGGCCGTACAACCAAGGCAAAGTATAGCATATGAAAATAAAGTATGGGTGTGTATATTTATGAGAACAGCCCAAATCATTTTTGTGGTGAGTAGCGCTTCGACAAAAAATCACTATGGCTGCCTGTTCACAGGGAGTAAATTACTGTTAACAACATAACATTATATACATTGAGCTGACACAAAGTGTCTGTTATTTAAAGGGGTGCGGCAATTCGTGTCCGAGAACTTGAAGACAGAAAGTACACGCGACCACTTTAACTCATACTTGTAAATATTATCAGATATCTTACATTGATTATCGAAATAATGTTTTACAAATTCAAATTTCATATGCAATCAAAATCAAAAGAAAATTATTATTACTACAAAAATGAATAAAAAAATCTGAAATCGACAGAAACAGTTTAGAATACTTTGTTAGTTGTCAACATAGTTGTCAACATGTAAATACTTGACGCAATTGCTGTCACCATGGTAACACGTGCCGTGGCTCCTTTGGTACCTATGTGGAATATAGAATAGAAACGTGTTACTGTAAGACAGATATTTATCGAGTCTGATTATGATCATTATTCGAACTACACTACGTCTCAGGGATATATCACGCTAGCGTGTGTTACCAAGGTAACATTGTTGTTGTTTATAGTGTCAATTTCACTATAGGTCTATTCGCTGATGCCATAGAATATTAAGTGAGACTGACAACACACAACCGACACAACCGACCTCGACTATGTTCCATATAATAAGCTTTAATTTAGTCAACTGACTTCCATGACTCGGAACGCGTTAACCAAATACAGTATTTGAAACGAGTCTAATATAAACTTGAACGAAGTAATGGTCATTATGTATGATATTAATAAACTACCTGTAGAGGGCAGTGTCGGTTGTCCCGGAGTAGTAGTGACAAAGAAGGCACCTGGAATATAAAGCAGACACCATAAATCATAAGTATATTGCGGTTTATAAATACATTTTTTTGTATAATTATTCTTTTCTTCTAGAATATATCCCGTTGTATGTACACTCATTTGAAGAGTGAAAATATAATGTAAACACGGTTGCGTGTTTTCGGAGTTACCACTCATGTGCTCTGAACTTCGAGTACGACGGAGAGTAAATTTAAATAAAGAATTTAGTACCAGAACGTGTATATTAACATTCTCCGCCCATTCAGAAATATTTTAACTGTACGTGTTTGCTTATGGAAATTGCAACGTGATGAGATCACAGTATTTTACCGCTATACAATCAACATGCCATGAGTTTGAAACAACGAGCTGACATGTTTGTTGGCCCTTCCCAAAGATGATGTTCCTAGAGTTTTTTAGGTGTTTTGAAAGAATTTTCGAAGTGTTCACGAGAAATCAAAATTTAAACTATACATGTAATTAAAAAAAACGATCTTGGAAAACAAATTGACAAGAAACAGTTCTTCTTTTGGGGGCATGCATCAGTCATCACAGATTTATGAAAAGAGTAAAAAAGAATCTTACTATCGCTGCACGGTTTGACACCAGCATACCCGTCTTCGACGTCACCGAATGGTAAACAAAAGTAATTGTTGTCAGTATCGCCGTCCACGTAGAGGGCGCCAGAGGGGACTGTAACCATCACACATACGTAGCGGTAACCGCCGCAGTTGAGCGTGGGGATGTTAATATCAGTCTTCAGACCGCTGATGGTGGTGACTCCCGAACTTGGTATTCCAGACGTCAAGCCTACGGCGGAGCTGGTGTCAACATTGAATGTAATGCGATGTATATCTTCGTCGTCCAGGTCGTCGATGTCACTAATACTGGCGACGAAATCGTAGTTAGCCGAGCCGTCAATTGTGCCGTTAATCTCTTCCGATCCAATGTTTGTGATGTTGAAGTCAAACGTTATGGTGACGTCATTATCGAGTACGTACTCTAAATTGATACCAGGGTCTGTGATGTTCAAACTGCTGGGAGACAAATCTGGAAAAGCGGGAAAAAAGCAATTCCTTAGTATGAACAACTTTCACAACTAATTATACAACTTACATATGATTTGTTCCAGTTTTCCAATTTACAACATTAAACACTTATTAATAAACCGACTATGCCCATATTTGGTGTCACCAATCATTGTATCACACGCGTTATATATACGTCACATGAAATCAAAATCGAAAACTCCCATGATGGTCGACTGCAGGGTCGCTTCACATAGTATCACTAAATTCACCAAATTGAAATTTAGAATTGTACTACAAATTTCTTCTTCGTCTCATACACTCCAGCATGTGGTTGTTAGTGTAATTGTACAAAATTACCAAAAAAAAAATTATACAAAATTACGTAAATTTTTGCGAGAATCAATATCGGGGTTAAAATGCCTAAGATACCACTGTGTCGCATACTGTCGCCAGTAGACCGACATAGAACTGTGTATATTAACATAAAAACAATCGATGCGTAGTTCGACAAGTGCACTTATAAACACAATAACATAACAATCAACGTATCACACACCCGGAGTACATTCTTTGATGCCGGCGTTGCTGGAACCATCGACCAGTGATAAACAGAAATAATCATTTGTACTGACGTCATCGACGTAACCTCCGTCGTCGTTGTGTTTTATCGTAATACACAAGTACGCGAGGTTGCCACACAAGTCGGTTGGTATGGTAACGGTGACGTTCATTGGCTCATAAGATGCCGATGCAAATAAGGCCAGTTGTTGACTAAGCTTAGCTTCATCTGTTTCACTCATCTCTATATCCAGTGTGACGTCATACAGTAGATTAGTGTTGCTGTTCTCGAGACTGACGATGAAGTCGTACATGTATGTACCATTGCTGCTTCCTGGCAACGTATCCGGACCGTCGTTAATGACAACAGTTTTCAGCTGAGTGAAGGTGTCTTCACCGGAAGTGAATGAAACTTGGCCGTTGGCTGGGTCGGGTACAGCAACAACAAGGCCATATACCTTGAGGTCTAGAAAAAAATACAAAATATTACTTTAAAGAGCGGTGGCCGTCGCGCTACGATGTACGACGTTTGAGTTGATAAACTTTGATTTTCCCACAACCCAATGCGCTCTTATACTATAAATTGACTTGGACGCGACTTCACTAATCACCGCCGGTGACCCCTTCGATACCTTCCAATCACCTAAAAAATATCCAATTAAATCTTGTTGTTCTCGTGTATCTGCAACAATCAAACTCGCCATCATTGTTTATATAAAACCCATATATCTCGCGCATGCGTGGCGCGTCTACTACCGCCCTTTAATTGCACACGTCACATTTATGACAGTTTACTGCAACATTTTAGCATAACTCACAACCCTTATATGATATGTAGTCTCTTTATTTCTACAGTACGCATTTATCAGAACTTCATCTTGGCTAAGATTGTATTGATAGGTATTGTCAAAGTGCAATATCTGGAGTTGACAGGGAAATCTTTCCAAACTATTGAAAAAATAGGCCGAGGAAGGGGTCCAAACCTACAATAACAACAACCACAGCAGGTAGAGGCTTTAGCAGCTAGGCTACTGTGGGTCCCGGTGTAGGTTCCCGCCAAATAGACTCATTAGAATGGTCATTTCAATTCCACATGATATGCATGAAACGACAGAACTAAAAGGAAATAATATCGACAAGCAAGCTGTTTACTGATTGGTCTGAATGGTAGGTGTTAGGGCCAATCAGGTGTATTCTTGTAAGTAGCATTGACTCCAAACGCTCTGCAATGGCAAACCTACATACTATTCAAAACACCCACGCAAATTGTCGTTGATTTTCAGACTTGTTGACATACAAAAAAATGCACACGTGGACTTACCTGATGTAACCTGGGACGAACAATTACCAAGAAAACATGACAAGAACAGAAGACCGAATTTCACAATTCTTGCAAAACAACCCATTTCTATGAAACAAAAACAAATAACACCTATTAGAAATATTCTATGTTATAAAACATATATCTAATTATTAAAACGGGAAAACGATATTCATATTGCATTTCATTATCTCTTTGGTGACCTTTACCAATAACAAACGCATAACATACATACTGATGCGAAATTGTTTTTTCATCGTTTTGAGAATATGCGTGTATTTTTGGTGGTAGCTGACCACTGGTCTTCATCTAGCGTATTTCACCGAGGTCGGGAAGTTGTCGTGGTTTTCACGGAAAATTGTCAACAGCTCAAATTATTTAACAAGCGCATCAGTAACAAATTAAATGTAATATCTCGATTACATAGGAAATCAACGCCCAAAATTTGAATTTCAGTACACGTTAGCAATGCCAATAACGACGTATTCAACTTATGATGCGGAACTCGACATTTAGGGTTAGTTAGAATTGTGACATGTCTCATTCTCGTCATAGTCAAAAGTTATAGAGTGAATGCATCCAGTCACGAAATACACGAAGAGTATTTATCCCTTATGAGCTTGCCTAAAGTAACGATTATACATCTCAAAGATATTTTATAACATATATATACACGATATATCCTGAATGAAAGCCGGTTAAAATCGTAAACCCCAAACTGAGTACAAAGTAACTCTGATAAGGGAATACTTACCAGTCTTAACTTACTCGATTGCTGGAATATCACGTGGTATAATACTTTCCACTTTTACTGCGCACTGCAGACGTGTTACTGATATAACTTGCATTTATAAGGTCGAGTAAACATAGACGTCTCCATGACAGCAGGGTATACAAATCATTTTTCGTGTGAATACCAAACAATAGTTGAAGTTGTTTATATTTCAATATGAAATTAGTACCAACCACGCCTCATCCTACGCCACAGTGTGTCATACAATCGTTATGCATACATACCATTGAAATGAAACAAGATGTCTTTTAACCTCTGTACATACTAAGATTTTAACATTTACTTCTACAAGGTGTGTAAACATAATTACTATCTAATTCGATGAAATGATACTATTAAAGTTGCAATTTTGTGAAATTTCTCGAGCAAGCTGAAAACATGACAAATTATATTTTTGTTAAAATATGATATATCGAAAGTAGATATTTCGCCTTTTACACATTTTATTTTGAGAGTACCGGACGTTCGTATCCCTTGGATTTAACATTCATACAATGTAACTGGTCTCCAAGGACAACAAACTTCATAACTCAGCGAGTGTCTATTGCTTACAAAATAATTAAATCTAATTTAATGGACGCATACAATCACATTCTGCAGTTAACTTCTCCATTACTCGTCCATAATCCTATCATTTTGTTGTGGTCAGATGAGAAGAGGATACCTCATGGATTTGAAAAGTTGAAACGCATCTTTGACAATTCGTTATAGTAAACGCCCAGCGAATGCTAGGAAATTGAATTTATCTAATGGCGAATCAGATTATGACCACATTTGTCTTACTGGCATAGACTGTGAGTAATATATCAGGAATATACTTAGTTCGTTTTTCAGACTATTTCTGTAGTAAAACTATGCACTTACTATATTGCACACTACGAGTCATGTACTCGTCACTAAAATACATCACACTACGGCGTGGTGAATATTTTTCTTGAAACAAAACGAAATCCCGAAAAAGTTGCATTCATTTATTTGGACCATGTGTTTGCATGCACGACTGTGCGCCATGGACTAACTTGGAACGAGGCTACATGTAGATGACGTAATCGAACAGAATAACACGGGCGCCGAAATCCCGTAATGTGTTATTTCCATACATCGGTTGGAATTACTGTTTTTATGGTTGTCAACGAACATTTCATGAATATTTTTTAAACAGTTGAACTGTTTGTAGTAACAAAGCATTTAATTTTAACGGAAACAATCCGACACGTACTTCAATGAAAGTGGACGAACACTTCAAATGTTCACACATTGATAACAGTGTTGGCCACCCACTCGAACACCAATCAACAGAGCAGAGGTCAATATCGCTACACGAAACGTGTGCATTCCTAACTGCCCACGGCAAATACGTAAACAACTTCAAGTTTAAAAAACAAACATATCGAAAGTTTGAATAACTTGCAAACAATACAATACGATGTGTACTTCATGTCATGTCGTGATCAAAGCTAGAAGTGACGTCACAAATTCTGACACATTGTAAGAGACGAGTATTCAGTATATATGTGTTCGTTTCACACCGCCCCCTATCAACTTGTTGTCTTCTTTTGTTGTTGAAACCCGAGTCACGTCGTAAGGTATTTCGTGGATATATTATAAATTATACAAATGACCATCTGAAACATTTTATCTTATTTCTCCCATCAACAAATTGCCCGTTTTAACGGCACATTCTCCACAAAAAAAATGTCCGTTTAACAGAACATTGACTCACAAATAGTTGCCCCTTTTTCAACGACAATTCCTTCACGAAGTGGTTGCCCGTTTAACGTCATCTCCATTCAAAAAAGTTACGGTTTTGAATGACTCCTTCCCCTCGAAAAGTTGTCCATGGCGCGTCGTGTCTGGGTTACGACATCATATCACTGAGAAACTGAGTAGCGATTTACCGCTGCATATATATTGTCACTGTTTCACTATGAGGTATTTGTGTTATTCAATGTGTGTACTGCGGTGGTTTTGTTTCATTTATAAGAGTGTGGAAATATGTTCTACTGGAAGTAGTGTGCCATCATGTTTTCACCAAACATGTCTTGACCATAAACCAGAACACGTACAGTGCGTCCGGGAAAGACCCCTGGCGATGCTCATGGTGGGGTAAGGATTGGGATTTTACCCGATTTTTCGAAAAACGTGTAACCCTTTACAAAATAGATTACTTGTTTATCATTTTGTTTATGAAACAAACCATTTTCCGCACCAAAATACCGATAGTAAGCGTGAATAACATTTGTTTTTGGTTTTCCCAATAGAAAGAAGACCCCCCCATTAATTGGCGACATACTCCTATATCTTACTATCAGTCTGCCATCACAGTGATGGATGCATGTGAACAACAACATTAACCCTGATATTCTCCGCCGCCACCATTGCATTACCATTCGACTTTTCACGGTGCTGCTATACGTCGATCATACTTTGAACATTATGGTAGCGTTGATGGGCGTGGGGGTGGGGTGATATAGCTTAGAAATGGGACGTCTACCCGGACCAACGGCAAAAAACATACGCAAATAATGAGATCTCCCAAAATACCCCCGATGTCCAAAGACATTGTCATTATACTATCATGATTTATATTTCAGTCAGTTTGACAGTGGTTGTCATGACATATACTGATAAAGGTTAATGACAAGACCAGATGGCGAGCTGGTCGAAATCAACCAAAAACATCTTATGACTCTGCAGTTTTTAAGATACAAGACAGTAGCTGTAATTCTAAACCAATGTTGTTTGCGAGTTTAAAAAAGGTAGTATCTTGGTGGAATGTTAGTGCGAGATTATTACCCCATCAATATTAGTTAGTGTTGACAATGTATAGAAATGTTTTCTCTAGACAGCTTGACGAGTAATTAATTGATTATGATGTGTAAAACTTTCATGTGATTGGTTGTTTGTTGGAAGGCAAGGCCTTGGAGTCTCTTATACTGATTGTAATTGGTTAAGGAGTGACAAGAAATAAAGATGGATTTAATGCTGTCTCGGGTGAAAACCAGGGACTGGGCAGAGAATCGTCTTGGGAACATGAACGAAGCTTGTGTGTGTCTTTTGTCAGCCTAGCGTGGAAACGACCGAATCCCGGTTACCTAAGTGAAAGGTTTTTAACCATCAAAAATACCTATCACAATACCACCATAATACCATTTTATTTGAATGAACATATTAAACACAATGCGAAATGATATTTTATAGTATGTAATAATTTCATTGTTTAATAAACACGACATTGCATTATTAAGTACATGACTGAAATATCTACGAGCATGGTCTTGTGCTAACAAAACACACAAAAAAAAACACGCGCTATTGTCATTTATCACAGAATTTCAAAGTAATTCCCATTTGCAGCGTTATTATATCAAACCAAAAAATCGATTAAAAAATACAGGTTCAGATATAATACATCAGGTAACAATGCCATATTGCAATATATTCGCTATCGTTGTCACTTTCATTAGTTGCCAATGCCCCCTAACATACTCGTTTATCTGACATACAAGTATTCGTAACTAGTAAGTTAGAAGGTCGTGACCAACTGCAAATGACCATGGGCTGAAATACCATGACAAACATCAAATCATAAATTCATAGCTTATAAGAACACAAACAATACACTACTGGAAACAAATATATATCTTAATTTTGTGTGTGTATAATTAATTATTCATTTTTTTGTTCTCATTGACAGCTGAAATATAATAAATAAATATTTGTTTACGAAATCCGCAAAAAATAAAATTAGCTTTTATTGAAACGAGTTAACCATCAATAATCGTCTAAATTGAGGCAGTTAGTTACACTGGTCTAAAATGAGGCTAGGTGCCGTTTTGTTCCAGACACGACTGCACCATAACCGATGACGTCACCAAAACATGAGCCGATAGCGTCAATCCTCCTAGTTCAATTGCCACATAATTACTAAGTTTAATATTTAAAAATGTTTCTATATTTTCAGATACAATACTTGTGAAAACATGTTTTGAATAGTTACTCCCAATTAACAACTCTTCATATTAAACGGTTGAATTTCGGTCTGACAAAGTTCGACCCTGTGACATAATCACGGTGGTGTGTAATGTTTAGAGAAGTCGTTGCTAGGGAGGTAAATTACCATTTTATTGTCCGAAAAGTGAGACAAGAGCTGCCAGTAAAAGAAGTCCAATGCTGAACGTAACTGCACAACCTATAAATAAAACAAAACATTAAATTCGTTATAGAATGATTTATTTCACCTTGTTGACCAAATGTTTGCAAAAGTGTTGGTCAAACTGGTCGTGTGATGGCGATGTTTACATTCGCAAGCATAACATTGTGAAGGAAAAGGCTGGGTCACTAAATACATAAAATAACGTAATAAAACCGGCACTCTTTACCTGAACACGGAGAATTCCCGCCATATCCGTCTTCTACGTCGCCAAACGGCAGACAAAAATGACTGTTTGTCGCATTGCCATCGACGTACGCTGCAGTATTGGGCGCCGAAACACTCAGGCAAACATACTGGTAAATATGACAGTCTTCACTCGGAAATTTAATGTCTGCTTTCAGTTCGCGAATCATAATAGATTCGAAGGACGGTATTCCCACAGTCAGATCGTAGGCGTCACGGACGTCAACTTCGAATTGCACGATAGTAGCGTTGTCGTCTTCTAAATCAGATTTGTCGGAAATACTCGCAACAAATTCGTAATTCGCTGCCCCACCGGTCGCACTAATGGATTCCCAACCAATGTTGTACATTTCCATGTCAAATGTCACTTCGACGTTTCGGTTGATTCGATAAATTAGATTAGAGGTTGGATCCGTGATGTTTACATCGTGTATGTGCAGATCTGAAAAAATAATATAAAATATGTATATATATAAGTATAGGAGCATCTAACTAACATGATCGTGTCCTTGTGCCTCCTTTAAACTTGCCAAGTTTAAAGGGCAGTGGTCGTCGCGCCGCGTTCTGTTCGATATGGGACTCATAGCGTCGTATACAACGCATGTAAAACACATTGTTTATTTACATGAAATTCGAACACGCGCTGCGCGACGACCACCGCGCTTTAAATAGTTTATAATATGGGTAATTTTTTGTCTATTTTGGAAGCACACATGGCAGTATTCGTTCGACGAAATAATGAAAACGTTAGTGCGCGTGCGGTTCGAATTACATGCGTATGACGTTTGTTCATTGTTTCATTAAAACTGATACATGTGCTGCCAAAAAAATAATCTTTAATAACAAGTTATACCATAAATTTTAAGATACAAAACCAACAAACAAATGATTCAAACGTGCAAAAAAACACATTGCCGCTTCAGAAAACACGTAACTCACCAGCAGTACATGACAGAATCCCGGCTGAGGTGGCGCCGTCACCCCACTGAAGGCAGTAGAAATCGTTATCGGGAGCTAAATCCACGTACGCTGTGGTGGTTTTGACCAAGGACACGCACATACTCGTGAGATTGCCGCACTGCCAGGTTGGCACGGCAACGGTAGCGTTTGGTGTGTACGACATAGAATCCAGATACAGCAATTCAGCCGCCATATTAGCCTCGTCCGCGTAGGAAAACTCCATGTCGATTTCAAATGGGTACGTCATGATTGTGTCTGTATATTCTAAACTGAGAACGAGTTCATAGTTGTCGCCGTTCAGGTCGGCCGGTAATGTATCAGGTCCGTTGTTAATGATCACTATGCTCAGCTCAGTGTAGGTGTCCCTGCCAGAATAGTACGAGATCTGGCCGTTGTTTGGGTCTGGTTCAATGACCGTTACACCGTACACGTTCAAATCTAAAGTAGAAAACACAGCGATGATACGTTTGTAGTGATATATGTGCACAGCAGTAATATTTTTGAATTTCTTGAATTTTACAGATATGAAAAAAATTAATGAATACTCACCACACGTGGACTGAGCATAACAGATGCTTACCAAACAGAGCATGAGAACTGTGGTTGTTATTAAATACGCCATCTGAATAGAACAATATAACAATTTTAAAATACAGCTACAATCTTCATCACTTTTATACTGAATCCGCATTCAATCTAATGACTAGTACTAACCTTAGTGTCACTACCAGTACCAGGAGATGTTGTAATCAGACCGCCAAATGAAAGAAAACTGATCTATCTCGCCAGAATTCCCTTTTAATGTCAGCGGCAATGGGCGTGTGCACTTAGTCTGTTATATATTAAACAAATGTTAGTGTTTGTATTAGTGGATGTTTTCGCATTATTTTCACGTCGAACTGTTGCTATGGCAGATTTTCTCCATGAACTTTCAATAAATTACGTCATGAGCATGTTAGTACCAAGTACGTGGAATTTTAGGTGTGTCAATCTTACAGCAATTTATCTCGCAAACCATTTCATGTCAGATTCTCCCCATTTCCTGACGCATAACGTGATCATTCTCACAATTTATAACCAAATTTAACGTTTATCACTAACTGTGTACGAGATATTTCATACTTTTAAAGCGCCATAGTCGTCCTTCCATGTCGTGTTCGACGTGGGTCCCATGCGACATATACAACGTATGTGCATCGAATTTCACAACAAAAAAGTTTCATAACCATCTTATTGGGACAATGGCCCCTACTGTTAGCAGCGCCCTCTGGGACGAATATTATCGATGACGTAAATGGATGAAAGAAAAACCGTTCGCATGTTGTTTTGAAAATAAATTAGTTATTGAAGATGCACTATATTGCGAATGACAAACGAATGCACAAGCAGGGACAGTCGACGTTATATACGACACTGATTTCATACATCTACGCAATGTTTGGACACCACGAACGAGCATGATCGCCAGAGGGCGCTACTTACATTGCTGTCTTCACAGTGCAATCACATGACGCCCAGTGGTCACGTTCGACAAACTTCCATGTCAACGAAATTATTAACACAAATATGTGTAGACGATAGGGCTAATTCGGGATGACATTATCTATATTACTAAAACAATTGAAAAAACAGAGATTTATTGATTTTTTATTTACAGTGACACACACTAATAATAGAAATGACGTTATTTCCGTTTACGTCTGTCCACTCTCTTGTGAGATGGGGCGAAACTAAACATAGAGGGCGTCTGTCAGGGATTTGTGCGATGCAGTATAACAAGCTATGTTCGTATATGGTTAGGAAATAGTTTTACTCATAACTCAAACAAAAAATCATTTGTGTACTAACATACAATGTCATCGTAATTGACCCGTTTGTTTACACTGTAGTACATTTTCTGATGATTCTATACAAATAGACTATATGTCGTGCATGATGACATGGCTTGGGACACTATGCCCTCTACCGCCAAAGAAGTTAGTTTGTGTCGACTCAATCACTGTTAGCTTGCATGTGTGACCTGGGATGTAGAAAGAAAGGGACCTTTCCGTTTTCAGGAGTTCTAGACCAAAAAACCCACAGTTATTGAATAATGGTGAGATAAAATGTTATTCGATCTAAACAAAAAAATGAACAGATTCCGACATCGGCTTATTACGGATTTTTTTTTTAAAACCTGTGATTAACACAGCGATCCTACAACACCCAGTTCCAGTTTACCAATAAGCATGTACTTCTTCTAATTCATTTTTTTGAGGCTACATATGATTTTGCAATTTCTGTTTTATTTTTTTAACACGAAGTTTGTGAGCTGTATGAGCCAGTCATGGTGGTGTACCAGCTAAAAACACACCAAAATGACACTCATCGCAGGGGGCGTGGTACACAATGAAAATAATATTACAAGCTATGAAGAGGTCAAAATATTTATTATAAAATTATAAAATGTACAATATCATTCATTATTGAAAAATAAAGTTGTATTCAAAATGGACACATTATTGCCTTTCAATCTGACATATTTCATCTGACCCTTGACCTTTGATTAACTAGATTGATGAACTCAGGGTCTGATGAAATATGTCATATTGCGGCTTGGTAGTCATGGCCTTATATCTGTAAAAGCCGTTTCATTTACTTCACGAAAAAATAGATGAACTTCGACTTGGAGTATTCGCCACATGTATCCAAGAGAAAGAATTACAAGTTTTTGCGTGCTTGGTATTTTTGTAAAGAGTGTTGCTTATTTTTCCAAATATCGTGAAATTAACAAACCAAGTCTAATAAGATCGTATGGTAAATTTCGATTGATTTGATCATACAGTAAGCGATGTGGTATTGGTGATATTGACGTCATATTAGAGTCGGAAATCTATCAAAAGCGCCCTCTTAAGATGTGGAACCGGTCAAGAGAGGGCGCAAAACATATACCAAGTAACCGCAAGTACTAACGGACGCTCTAAAAAGGAAATATTTTGCGTCACCAATCTTCCTTAGGATTCTACCAATACGCTTGACAAATGTTGATCCCGTGTAATCTGTACTTCCGACCATTAAATTTATATTAATATATAGTGGTCTGAGTCGACGGAGTGTTGGCAAAAATATTGAGGTCGCTGACGTCACAGCGTTTACTACTAATAACGTCCGATCATAGAGCAAACTATCGTCGTCAAGAGAAGTCCGATACTGAACTTGATCGCGTACCCTGTAAAATAAAAGTAAAACGAAGTCAGTATCGCCCATCTGTGATCCACGCGTCTATTGAGCACCAACGTGGTACAGCAGACCCACTTAGAAAAATACCCCGGCCCTGCTTACGTGTGAATGACTTGTTTTTCAGTCCAATATAGCCAAGTGGTGGCGCCCTTCTAAATTAGGTGTAGGTTTAACCGTTCAAGCGTTCTGAACGATTTGCAACTCTGATTGTTCTGAAACAAAAAAAGAAGTGTTTCTTACCCGAACACGGCGTATTGCCGCCATAACCGTCTTCTACGTCACCAAACGGTAGACAATAATGGCTGTTCGTCATATTACCATCGATGTACAAAGCAGTTTTTGGTGCCGATACAGACATACAGATATACTGATACATGTAGCAGTCTTCACTCGGGAAAATGATGTCGGCTTTCAGTTCTCGTATCGTAATTGAGTCAAAGGAAGTTATTCCGACCGTCAGGTCGTATGCGTCACTGACATCAACGTTGAATAGTACCACGGTGGCGTTGTCGTCTTGTAAATCTTGTTTATCAGACATACTCGCAACAAATGCATAGTTTGTTGGCCCGCCGGTTGCGCTGATTGAATCCCACCCAATGTTGTAAATTTCCATGTCAAAGGTCACACTGACTTCCTCTCCAATGGTGTAGATAAGATTTGAATCTGGTTTCGTGATGTTCAGATCGGCTACATGAAGATCTGGCAAATAAAATAAACATTTAACATTCAAATTTTGGAAAAACCGGGACCTATTTCCAAAGTTTTGTTGAGAAACTGAGGATATTGTGAAGTAATTCGACCATTCCTTTAAAATTAAACATAAGTTTTAACAGATGTTGTCGTAAATGTGTTTTTTAAGTCGAAAATATCCTTAAATTGCGATATATTTCTCTTGTATATGGTTACTTGTAGATAATGCATGCGCATGCGTGAACATAAGTGTCGGTGACGTCAGTAAGGCGACTTACCTGCCGTGCATTGCAACAACCCGGCGAAGTTAGGACCATTTCCCCAGTCCAAACAGTAAAAGTCATTGGATTTATCGTCGTCTTCGTATTCAATGTCTTTGCTGTGAATCAACGTAACGCACAGTTTGGTCAGGTTACCGCATTGCCAGGTGGGGACGGCAATGGTGGCATTCGGAGTAAACGTCACTGGGTTCTTTTTAACATCCATCTCAATCCCTTTGTTGTATT